AGGCTGCCTCTGTGCCTGCTGATGGGGCTGCTGCTGCTGCTGAGGCTGCTGAGGCTACTGAGGCTACTGCGCCTTCTTCGGACAACGGTTCGCGAAGTGTCCGGGCTCATGACAATAGTAGCACACATCTTGACCAAAGTGACACTCGCCTCGGTGAAGTCGTCCACATGTCGGGCACTGAGGGACCTGCTGTAGCCTCCGTCGGGTCCTCTTATCTGCCTGGGCACCTTTCTCTTTCCTCTTGTTGTTCTTGGGCGGCTGGGTAGATGGCAAAACTGGCATCGGTGGAACTAAAGACGACTGAGCAGGGGCGGATGGCTGAAACTGTCCACGAGCGGCCTCCCTCCTAATGCTGGCATCCACCTCCTGAGCAATGGAGACTGCACGCGCGTACGTCTGTGTCCCGAGGCCTACGATGTTATGACGGACTGCTGGGTAAAGCCCGTCAATGAAACGTTGCGCTCGCTGGGCCTCCGTGCGGACCAAATCAGGAACGAAAGCTGCAAGTCTCGTGAACTCCCTCTCGTACTCGTCGACAGTACGAGTACCCTGCTGGAGCGATAGAAACTGACGCTCCATCTCTGCTCGGTAGTATGTGGGATAGTACTTCTCACGGATTAACTCATTGAGCATCTCCCACGTACATCCCGCCTTCTCACCGGGACGCATGCCCCAGTAAGCGTTCCACCAGAGCCTGGCATCACCGGTGAACTGAAGCTGTGCGCAAACCATACGATATCTCTCAGGGCACTCCATGACCTTGAAGATAAACTCCAGGCCCTGAATCCACTCATCAACTACGCAAGGATCTCCCTGCCCTGAGAACTTTTCGGCATGATAGTCGCGGAACTGGGCGACCACTGTAGCCTGAGTAGGAGCCGGATGATCGGGTTCCCTACGTGGCGGCATCTGAACATTGAGAAAGTTCAAAATTATTGAATATATTCTGACTGATTACTAAGGCACACAGATCTCTTGACGAGTTGCCAAAAATAGCCGATAATTACTGACATGAATCCTGAAGAACTCTAGAGTCATAACGGAAGATTCTAAAGTCTAGAGTCATGCCTGAATATACTGATCTCTAAAGTCAAGTCTGAATGTGCTGAATTCTAGAGTTATATCCGAACTCTAAAATCTGAATCTGAATCGAGCATCTTAACTAAGTCTGATTACTGATTTCTGAGCATAGACAAAGTAATATGTTTATAACTGAAAAAACTGAATCAGCACTTACCTGGGGTCGGCGAGGCGTGAGCGTGACGGTTCAGGTTTTTCTGAAAATTATTGACTGAAAAACTTTTCAGAAACGCAGAAACGTGCTCTGATACCAATTTGTAACACCCCGACTTTTACCATATCAGAGTACGCGATTTTTTGAAAATTTCTGAATAAAATACTTATTTTGCGAAAACTGATTTGAGATGCTACCATGAAGAAAACTTGATTTTTGAAAACCGTTAAAATTTAAACTGATACATAAAAACGGTCATAATGTCTTATCCGACTAACGTCGGAGCAAAGTCTGATAATAAGTACTGAAAAGTTTTAGCAGAAACAAAGCGTGGCTAAACATAAGTACAATAATCACAAATATCCTGAACAGCTCGCCCGCTCACTCCTCGTCTCCGACCCTGCGACCTGAAAAACATGAAAGGTGTGGGAGCGTGAGCACTAAAACACTTATGCTCCGCAGAAACTCATACTAATGTAAACATCATAAATAATAACAATATCATGAACTAAGCATATATAACTGACTGAACTGAAACTGATATCTGATACCAGTCTGATCTCGCGACATAAGTCACGTATCTGATAACTGAAATCTGTCGGCACAAACTAATACCGCAATCTCCCGGCACAAACTAATACCGGACCATGTGCACACTCTAGTGGTTAGATTAGGCCACTAGAACTCAGAATGGACCGGCGACCATTCTGAGCGGATACTGAATATACATACCTCGAACATGGTAGCGTAATTATAAACAATGTAGTACTTAGTCTGAGTCCTCACCTGAACTGCTAAAACTGAAACTGAATGGCAGTGCTGACGCCTGATCAAACTGAAAATAATATAAACAATTACAATTGACTATGCTCAGACTGATAATTTAACTGTTTAATTATGTTAAGATGCTCTATTGAATCTAACATGACATTCGAACTTATTCGGTGTAACTGAAACCGGCTAAGTACGAAACTGAGTTGACAATAATTAACTGAACTGAACTTGACCTGGAATTTAACTGAAAATAACACTGAAACTGAAAACCGGG